CTCTTCCTCCACCTTTTCCTCTTCCTCCTCCTCCCTCCCTCCCCTTCCTCTCACCTCCAGGTCTCTGAGTTGGGAGTTTGGGGAGACTCCTCAGAAGGGTGGGAAGTAAAAGGAACGGGTGGTGCTTGGATAAAAAATAGCTGCACCCCAACTGTGCTTTTCAAAGAGAGGAGCGAACTGTGGGGGAAGTTAAAGAAAAAAGTGCAACAATGAATGAATGAAAATCCAAGATCTCTGTAAATGTTCATTAAAATTAATAAATTAAATTTTAAAAAAATAGCTGCGCCATGGAAACCTGGGGAGCAGTCCATGCAAAGCCCGAAGCGCTCCTGAACCCGCCCTTGAACCTCTTAGTACAGACAGACATCCAAAATGTGTAACCTCTTGCTTCTCAAAGCCCGGTCCGTGGGCCAGCAGCGTTGACATCTTCTAAATGTTTCTTTGGAGTGGAAGCTTCCCAGCCCTGCCCTAGGCCTTCCAATCAGTATCTACATCTTAACAGGCCCTCCCCCAAGGTGATTCAGACGCACATTACAATTTTAAGAGGCACCACGCAATGCAAGGAAGGAAAAGAGAGTGACAAGCTTTCCAAGTGATACTGGTTCTTGGCGTCCGTTTGCTAATTCATATGTAGCCGTGTGAAGACCCCGCCTGTGGGAAGGTGGTGAAGCTGAAAGGCTCCTGAGAGGTTCGCCGCCCCCACCAAAGGCGAGGGAGGGCCTGCCCACCCCTCACAGTCCACGCTCCTCCCCTCCAGGTTTCTCACCGACATGATGATCATGCTGGGTTGCTCCATCTCCAGCATCTACCGGTGGCTGTGGTGCTACCTGTCGCCAGTCGTGCTGTTACTCCTGTCTGTGACCTTCTTGATCCACATAAACGTCAAAAAGCCAGACTACTTGGCCTGGAACTCAAGCCTTGTAAGATACCTGTCCTGGGGCCCCCAGAACCACACAGGGAAGAGGAAGCAGACTTTCGATTCACTCTTGTCTCTGTTGTTGTTGTTGTTGCTAAGTGCCATCAAGTCATAGGTGACTCATAGCAACCCTATGAACAAAAGACCTGGACACTTGGATAACTTTCATCCTCTCTCCAGGTTCATAGGGTTTCCGGAGGCAAGCTATTACGGAAGTGGGTGCCACTCCTGCTTCCAAGCTTGTTTTAATTGGGGAGCTCCACCAAATGGGTAACCATTGTCACATTTGACACATCAGTGTCACAGTGTTCAGCTTCATAGCAACCACGAGTTACCTCTGTACAGCAAATGGACAGACCAGTGCTGTACCACTTAGAAGAATGTTTGACCCAAAACAATTAAAACCAGACCTGAGGGCTGCGGATTAGAGTCACCCACCTTTGGTTTGGTAGCATCACTTTCTATTCACGAGGCCAACAGAGCTCTCTCTCTCTCGTTGTTGTTGTTGTTATTAAGTGCCATCGAGTCATAGACGACTCATAGCGACCCTATGAACGAAAGACCTAGACACTTGTATAACTTTCTTCATTTCTCCACGTTCATAGAGTTTTCGGAGGCAAGCTATTTCGGAAGTGGATGCCACTCCTGCTTCCAAGCCTGTTTTAATCGGGGAGCTCCACCTTGGCTCTCTTATCCCTTAATCCTGAGATTTCCGTTCTGTGGTCTTCTGCCTTCACCTCCTGCACCCTCACACTTCAGAGGTTCTGGCCATTCAAAACCTTCGTCTCTTTTTCCCCACAGTCCAATGAGATCAAGCGAGACTACCCGTCCTGGGCTATGAACCTGCTAAAGACCACCATCATCACCACCGTCCTGCCCATCCCCCTCTACTTCCTGTACACCCTCATAAAAACGCCCCTCGTCCAAAGCAGGACCACCACCTACTTCAAACGGAAAAGTAAAGAGAGCTTACCCTCATCACAGAGGCCTCAGATGTAACATCCCAAATAAGAGCAGGAAAATAAAACTCCCCAGCAGATGATTCCCCCTCAGAAATAAAGGCTTGACTCATTGGAAATAACACTTCTTTTAAAAAAAATTATTACTATTAATTTTAATGAAAATTTATAGAGACTTTGGATTTCCATTCATTCATTGTTGCACTTTTCTCCCTGCCTAC